AGAATTCCCCAGCCAGCATTCGCTGGCTGGGGAATTCTGGGAGTTGAAGTCCGGACATCTTCAAGTGGCCAAGGTTGAGAAACACTGGGCTAGTGACACATTTAGGGTTTTGAAAGCCAGTAGTAGATGTGCTCACTTAGTTTCCAGGGTGGGATTTCATTTAATAACAGAATACAATGAATAATCTAAACAATGAATGCTGCACATTATTTTACTCTATGTTTGTCTATGTCATTGTTTGTATTTCCCTCCCCTGATCCTGTGTAAGCCGCCCTGAGTCCCCTCAGGGAAAAGGGCGGCCTATAAATTGTAATAAACCTTAATAATAAACCTTAAACCAGGGGTACATAGATTTGGCCCAAGGGACCACTCTGGAAATAGCAAAGGACCAGCCCGTAATGCCTTGGCCCAACCCAGGCACTGATCTACCACCTGGTAGAGCTGGCAGGATGCTGTAGGAGGCCATGACAGCTGAAACCAGAGCTCGGGAGGGGCTCCTGTGTGCTAGCAAAACAAACCACTAGCAAAAGTGGCATTTGATCACAAGGCAAGGAGGCATCTCCCCTTTTGGATTTGAACATCCAAGAAGGGACAGGAAAAGAGAAAGGGAAAGAGGAAAGACAAAAAGAAGGAAAGAGGGGAAGGAAGAAGGAAGGAAAATGAAGAGGGAAGGAAAAGTAGAAAAGAGAAAAAGGGAGGGAGGGAGGGAAGGGAAGGGAGGAAGGGAGGAAGGAAGGAATGATTTTATAATTAGAGGGAGGGAGGTTCTGAGGGAAATCATGCCTTAGCACTTGACCACCAGCCCTTTTCACCATCCCCTTGTCTCCTCCTCCTGACCTCTCCTGGTGGTCTCCCATCCTATTGCTGAGGATGCTTTGGTTACAAAGCCAGGTCTCCTCACATGGTGAAGAAGTGGGTCTCCCTCTGGCCCACATACTTTGCCCTCCCACACACACCATGAGCAAACTGGCCAAAGAGAGTGAGCACAGCAGCAGCATCAAGGAGGAGGTAAGTGCAGCCGGGCACGCCCTCAGGGAAGTGGGGCTGGAGTTGGGAACCCCCAGCAATAACCTACTAATCCCCAGGTGTGGAATGTTGTGCCCAGCGGTGTGTTTCAAAAATTTTTCGAACCTACTCTGTGGGTGTGGCCTCCTTTGTGGGAGTGGCTTGCCNGGAAACCAGAAGAGCAGCTGGCGATGGCACACGTGCCCACAGAGAGGGCTCTGCATGCCACCTGGCAGGTGTGCCATAGGTTTGCCATCATGGCACTGGACGCTTGGAGAAACTCCTTAACCGTTGTACGTAAAAATTCCTCTCAGTGCGGCTATGTATTGAAAAAGAGAACAAAAACAAATATCCCAACAGAACAGGCATCCTAACGACTGTTTGGAAACAACCGGACACACTCACCTGGTCCTTTTCGTGAGGCAAAAGGCTGACGGGCGGGAGGGAGGCTGGAAATGAACTGTATTTATATGTCCCTCGGCTTTCCAAGCTAACTTGGTTCACCCTGTACTGGGGTCCTTCTTTCAACAGCCTCCCATTATTGACGGCCCGTTTGGCCCCCAGGCGCAATCTCCGCTGAAAGATGGGGTTGTTGAAGACGCCTGCCAGGTCATGTTGGCTCCTCAGGTATTTCTCAATGTTTCTGAGGGAAGATCCGTTTGGTTCTTGGAGCCCTTCAATGGCTCTGCGCAGGAGCTTATTCCAATCCACATTTCGAAGCTCGTGACAGGTTCCCTTAGATCCTTTCGAGGGTTTAGGAACGTCGTCCATTTTAAGGGAGGAAAAACGCCCAGGGTTATCTGGGTCCTTGTAGGATGCAAGGCCTTTGTTGGTAACTTTGAGAACGGAGCCATCTTGGACACTTAGCTCCAACTGTTCGGAAACGGTCTTCTTATCTAAGCCGTGGGATGCGCAAACGGCATGGCAAATCCTCTCTTCTGAGGGCCTCTGCTTCTGCCTTTTCACTTTGTGGATGGCTTCAAGAATCCACTCTGTGTAAAGTGGATTTGCGAGCTTTACCATGGTTGACCAATAATCTTCCACCCACAAGAGTTACCCATAGAGTTCCTTTCTCTTCCAACAATGACTCTTCTCCTACGCTTTCACATTTTACCTTCTGGTACCACCATCTGAAGAAGGCATCCCTTAGGTTCAAAGATGGTGAGGGATCTCAGGCATGGTCTTCTAAAGGAGATGCCTTCATCAACCAACATAGGAAAGTGGAGTCATCTTCTTACACCAGATGGAACATACATCTCTACAACTTGATGGCTTTTCTCTCTGACCGGCATAAATCTTTCCAGATCTTCATCAATTCTAAAGAATATTTATACAAATCAGGTTAAGTTTCATTCGCAGCAAAACTCAGTTCATCATTTAAGAATGTAAATATATAGTGTTTTATTTAAAAAGCTACACCTCTATTGGGCAATGCATTCATTATTAACTAATATTTAGAAGCACCAGTTGGATTGGGGGGAAAGGTTACCCTACTGGCTTCATAGGATTAAACTCCAAAATTCATATTGGATGATAGTTCAGTCTTTCAGAAGATAGACTACCAGCCAATATTACAGTATATCTGCTACCTTTCAAACCCCAAACTGAAATAAAGCATACAGTAATTGGATACACAAAACTACCAGTAAAAGCATTTGAAATGTGGATTTACAGACAGCTGTTACGTATAAGATGGGTTGACAAAATCAGAAATGAGATGATAAACCACCTAGGAAAACCAAGGGAAATCTTCAAAACCATTAAAAAACAAAAGTTAGAATATTTTGGATATGTGAGGCGACACCTGGAAAAATAAAGCACACTTCACAATCCACCAGGGAAAGATTGAAGGCAAAGAGATCTAGGCAAAAGTAGAACGTGGCTTCAAAACCTAAGGGATTGGTTTGAATAAAACTCAACAGCACTTTTTCATGTGGCTGTTGATAAAAATAGGATCGCCAACATGATCGCCAATGACGGATATGGCACAAGAAGAAGAAGAAAGCTATCGGTTTCTCAACATCCCCAAATCTAGTAATTCTAGTAATTAGAATTACTAGATTACTAGTAATCTAAATGTAGTAATTTTTAAATCCCGCCATGTTCTAAACACTCTGCCTCTGCAGTCTTATTGGACATGGAGATGTCATGAAGCTGGAAGATGCTAGACCACATAACCAGCCATAAAAGCAAAATCTCCTTGTCTAAAGGTTATCGATGATAAACACAATAATTACTAAACTCATCATCACGTATGTCATAGTATGCTTCAAATGCATCAAGGGAGGGAGGGAGATTAATGCCAAAATGTGTTCATCATCTCAGTCTAGGAGAGCAATTTGCTATTTGATTGGAAACACTTTGAATTTTGCAAAGGGATCCAGAGAGCCCTCTGATAAAATTCAGATGGAAAAGACAAGAGATTTAAAAGAAGTGGCATCCCTTGTCAATAATCCCTATGTTGGACTACCAAGCAGGAAAGGTTGTTACTCATGGCAACTTTTAAGCAACTTTGACTACTATTTTTCTTCTTCTCAAAAACTCCATAACTCCATACTTGAGAGACCGCCTTCTGCCAATTACCTCCCTGCGACCAATTAGATCTCATAGATTGGGCCTCCTCCGAATTCCATCTGCCAGCCAGTGCTGGCTGGCAACTACAAGGAGGAGAGCCTTTTCTGTAGTAGCTCCGACCCTTTGGAACGAGCTCCCCGTGGAGATTCGTACCCTCACCACCNAGAAAGGTGGTATAATAGGCTTAGTGACCAAAGTTACAATGGCATTGAAAAAAGTGACTGATGACCATTTTTCACACTTAGCGACCATTTCACACTTAGTGACCGTTGCAGCATTCTCATGGTCACGTGATTAAAATTTTGATGTTTGCCAATAGTTACAATTTATATTTGTAAATTGTTGAAATAAAAAAATATTACAATACTATTTTTGCGTTGTATGAAAATTTTTGTTGCTCCGGTCAAAGGCGTCCCTCTTTACCAATCTGAAAATCTGGTCACTTTAGGTATGCAGGACGGTTGGCCTTGGCCACCTCAATCACTATCACATGCGCAGTAGAAGGTGAGAACAAAATTCCCTTTTTACAACCTCTCCTGTACTTAAAACTTTCCTTCCCAAATACCAGCCCCCCCCCATCTCCCCGTTTCAATGCAGCCGAAAGCAAATAGTGAAACAGAGGCTGACACCTCTCTATGCATACATGCATCTGGGATGGGCCTCATCCTTTCCTCCCCCTCACTCAGCTCAGGCACCAAAGACAGCTGCCTCTCCGTCTGAGGGCGGACAGAAGGCTCCGGGTCTGCATCTTCCTCAGCTTCTGTTTCCTCATCAGAGCCTTCAAAGGCTTCGAAGGAGGCCCAGGCTCCCTCTCTACATCTGACTCTGCTGCTAACTCTGCTGTCAGTTGGCAGGCCACAACAAAGAGGATGGCATGCTAAGCTCATGAGTGGAATAGCTGCAGACTTTACACCTTCCACATCTCCAGTTGTGCAATTTTGGTTTCTCAAGAAACCTTTCATCATACCTGGACTGGTGAAAGGGGGTTCTTACCTCAGCTTCATGCCAATTCAATTTTTCATTAAAATATCCATAGCAGGTTCTCTGTTTCTTTAACCAGTCTGTGGGGCATGTCTCAGCCTTGACTGCATGGAGACAAAAGGGGAAAAATAGTAGGTAAATGGAATAGTTTTCAGATTTTCATGAATGGAATCTCTTCCGCTGGGAGTGATTGGAAGCAGCTTAGTTTCTCACCTTTGGTGAAGTCCGTGGATTTTAAAATGGAGCCAAAGACTCCAGGGACACGAAATATTTCCACTACCTCTTTTACCACCTTGAAAGTGGTCCAAGAACTATTTTCCAGGCCAATTTCAAGGTATTTGTGGAGACTTCAGGAATAGTACGCCTTTTATGAGAGCTCTTTCTGTCCAGAAGACCTCCTAGTTCTATTCTCAGCCTTAAAATATTGGAGGAAATTATGAAGTGGACTAACTAATTGACTAACACTGGAAGGACTAAGGACACTTCATGCTATGGGATTCTGTGCTGCCCCCAGCAATCAGAATGAAAAGTGGCATGAAAATCCTATATAGCCTACATAGTACATGTAAAAATTTCTGAAGACAGAACTGAAGTTATTAAATCTGCTATGTTTCCCATACCGAAATGTATTGGGGGACTCACCTCCCAAAAAATAATTGGTGATCAAAACTCCAAGGCAACAGAAGGTGATGTGCATGAAGAGTCCCATCTTCTGGTTACCCTTTAGGAGAAAACAGGTATGATTGAAGAATTTACAGAGTGGCAGTCATATTATCTTGCTGAGAAAGAAAGCAAATTTTTGAATTACATAATTTAATTCTGATTCCGATCTCCCTGCAAAGTTTTCTGTTTCAGTTCCTAGCATGCAACTCATGAAAAGCTCTATTGCTATTTCCAAAAGCCATATCCTTATTGAAATGCCAGATCACTGGCATTAGCAGAGTTAGCAGTTAGCAGAGAGCATTTAACCCACACTTACCAAGAATGTCTTCAGCCTCTCACCTTGCAAAGTTCTTCAACTGGGGAGGTTGAGTTGAAGGATGGTTGGAGTGGTGGAATCACACTTTCCGAGCAACCATTATATAGTCTCTTGGTACATCAGGATGGCCAAATTTCTTCAAGGATTTCCTGGTCCCCCTCCCTCTTCCCTTTCCTATAATTGAGAGAAAAGCAAAGGTTCTACATCCTAGTGGAAAGCAAACATTATCCCTTGTTAATCATAATCTTCTTGATTTATTTATTGTATTGATTTTAACTGTTGTGGTTTCTGGCTTATATTATATCAAATATTGAGGAAGACAATTTTCTCCAGAAACACCAGGTTGTCAGGGTTCCAAGAAACATCCCCAACAAAAGAAGACTCAAGGGTTTCCTCAAAGTTCCATTTTATTAGAGATGTCATTTTGGCACATCTTGGAAAACTTGAATCTGAAAGTTTTCAGGTTTTCCCCACCCAAAAGAAAGTTCAAGTCCCTGCCCAGCCCCCCCCTCCCCATGTCCATCATAGGATCCTATCAGGCACCATCCAAAATAGGTGATGCCTCCCAGTCACCAGATGACCTTGCCTTTCGGAGAAAGTATGTTATTATGGCTATATATCACTNAATTGCAAGCTCTATTATCTTCAATTATTGCACTGTGATTTAAGCTTTTTTCTCATCATCATGCAATATTTGAGGTTTGATACACGTAACCATTGTTTTGCTTTATAGGTGGCATTCCAAGGGTGGCTCATGTGGGCATGGCAGTATTACAGAATAATTTGCACAAATGAATCTTTCTCAGAATCATCTTTCAAGAGGAAGCAAACCTTTGGATTCAATGCATTGGAAACTGGGTCAATTGATATACTGAATTGCCACTGTGGAATAATCAAGATATCTACTTCACATACAAGCAAGTCCAGGCTTATTTTCATTTTCTGAATTATACTAATGGCATTGTAACACAGCCATTCATTTTCTAAAGTTTTACTGCTTGTACATCCTGCAATCAGAAAATCTAAGTATTCATAATTTTTTTATAATAGTCATGAGTCATGACAACACGTAGTCTGTCAACTGATGTTTACAAAATAATAGAAAAGAATCATGATTGGAAGCTGACAGCAAATAGTTGTCGCCAATACCTTTTTATTGTTTGGAGGCATGATATGATTATGTTTTTCCTGATGATGGGAAGAATATTATATAATGTTTTGAAACTGAGTAATTAAGGCTTTGGGTTGCTGAAATTAATCAGTAAAACAATCTTGGCATGTTCAGGCTGAGGTCACTGATTTCAGGAAAAACTGAATAATTGTGCAGTCATATAAGCAACAAAGACTAAATATGTTGACAATTTTAATGAACTTCTATTAACTGAAGAGCCTTGGAGATCAAAGCTTTGAACAACAGTTCTTTAGGTTGCTCTCATTTGTAATTCTTGTTATCTGTTCTGTTGGCATCCAAGGAGCCAAACAGAATTCTTAGTTAACTTCCTTCTTCCAGTTTAATTTCTTCTTTTTAAGTACATTTAGAAAATTCAGGAATTAGCTGTAATTATACATTTTGAGTAGCACATTTTGATCCTTTCCATGCATAAATTCCATAGCACCTAATAAGATTCATCTGGACTTTCCTTCCTGAAGCAGATTTTCAGCTTTTTCACTGCAAATTGCTCTCACACACTAATAATAAATTAAAACCTAATCCTTCTGCAATATTGCATTTTATCAATAGGACTTTTGTGCATCATCAGCACATGACTGCTGTTATAGTTAACTATTATTGGTGTTCTGTATCTAAACGCAAACTATGATCCACTGAAAGTTATTAGCAGGCAGGAAAATGATGTATTGAAATGTTCACACTGAAAAATTCTGTTGCTTGAAGAATTTATGGATAAAACAGAAAAAATGCCTGTAGCAGCTGTTGTTTATAGACAAGCATTTGAAAAGCACATGTACAACAGTGTATCAATATGCACATTCCTTCTGAAAAACTTTTTTTCATAATTCATAATGGAATGTTACATGTGTCGCACCTTTGAAATAGTCCAGACAAGAAGCACAATATCCTTAGTTTCTGCTACTTTTATTGTAAGTTTACAGTAACAGAATATTGCAAGTCTGAAAGCATTTTCGCCTCCTGTACTTCTACTTTCCAGAAAAGTAAGGAGACTCCCTTACTAGACATTTATGCAGCATCTTTGCTTCTGTGCACTGAAATAGTTTTTTGCCTGATGGTTATCTACTCTGTGGTTTTTCCTTTTGGTTCCCAAGGTACCATAATTCCCTTATTGCATTACACCTAGTTGTTACATGAATCATGCAGTCATTAAGCAAATCTGGCTTCCCCAATTGACTTTGCTTATTGGAAGCTGGCTGGGAAGGTTGAAATCGCAATCAAATGATCATGACCATAAATCACTGCAACTATCAGAAATGTGAACCAGTTGCCAAGCACCAAATTGTGGTCATGTGACTATAGAGGTGGTGTGATGATTGTAACTTTGAGAATGGGTCATAACTCACCAATTCTGAGACCACTGTAATTTTGAACCATTGTTCAGTAAACAGTTGTAAGTCAACAACTACCTATATGCTATGGGTAGTCTTGTCATTCAATTTAGAATCTTTTACTGCCCAGAAGGTTTACTGAAATAGACAGGCTTCATATTGGAATGCTATCACATTGAAGATAGTGAGATGAGAATGATTGAAATGTTATGGAGGAAAGGACAAAATGTGCTTCCTCACCTTCCCCCTATTGTGAATATAGTTACATGATGGACTTCATTAATGAATGCATTCTGTAAATTTGACAAATTTAAAAAAAAAATAAGGTAAGAGAAATATTTATTTAAATTTTGCACAAAGAGTATATATTGGACAAAGTCAATCAAGGAGTAAGTGCAATCAAATGAGGAAATACATATGATTTTTTTCATAAAACATTATGCAATCATGCATTATTTTTTACAATTAAAGGATTTTTTCACAGCTGTAGATACATTGCAAAAAAAATCTGTGTTTCCAAAAGATATATAACTTTGGGGATTCTTGGAGTTACCAATCAAACAAATTGATATAGACAAGTGGAGTTATATTAAAATATATAGTTTGGCCATAGATGAGGTGCAGTTTCAAAACTTTAGTAAGCATTTCCCTTCTTGAAGCTTTTGACATTTTTATCTGCATGTCATTTTTTTCAGTAGTCCGGTATCTTACATGTCAAACACAAACATGAACCAAAACTTGAACTTGAACTTCACATCAAAACATAGGTTTATATATCTGAACTTGTTCCTAGTCATACACATTTCATTCAGACTGAGGAACTAGACATCTCATTCAATTCATAATATTTCTTCACTGTAATTGAATCAAATTAATCTTGTTCCATGTTTGGCTTATTAATTTTTGGTGTGTAAGTCCTTATGGAGAAATATACTTAAATTGTCCAGGATTATGATACTGTTTTCACAATTCTTGCAGACACTGTGGATCTACAGAGCAGCAAATATGCCCATTCTAGAAAAAAGATGAAAAAGTGATTTATTTTTCAGCAATTTTTTAAAATTAAGCATTAATTAAGTCAACAATGAAATGGAGGGGGACAAAACCATTCATTAGCACTTGTTCAACTGTCCTGCATAGATTTCTGTTTAATGTTCTAGTTAGATTAATCCAGCAATTTTTATTTGCCATCCTTTAATGACTGACAACATTTAAAATGAATATTTGAATCCTTTTTTAATATTTAATTATTTGATATCTATGTACAGTACAAGTATACTCCTAATCTGTATATTAATATTCCTTTTGAAACAGAGCATGTCAACTACCTCTCTTTTATTTTCATACATAATCAAATATCCTGGTAAAGTAAAAGGTTAACATAAAATGTAAAGTTAAGCCGGACAAGAATGCCCTGAGCCTTATCCATTCCACAGGGGATTGAATACTTTTTCTACCTGACTAGGTCTAGGCAGGAAATTGGTAAGTTTACATCCTCATGAGGCAATCAAGATATTTGATTATGTATG